GTTTTGAATATAGTGCACGTATAGTGGCTGTCTGACAGCCAGGTGGGGAGGCTGCAAGGAGTCTGAAACACAGATGTGGAGCAGAAGTGTGAGCGGGGGCCAGCGGTGTGGTCATGCGGCCAGAGGTGTAGTCTTGAGGCCAGGAATTGGAACCACAGAGGTGGAAGACCGCCTAGAGAGAGAATAGAAAAACAGCCAAGAGAAGCCTCCACATGAAGGGGCTCCCTGGGAAGGAGCCACTGGCAGAGCGGTCATGGTCCAGAGCCTAGGAAAACTGGACCGGGAGGCCCCAGTGTCTAGAATCGGGTTAATAAGCCAAGTGTCACATCCTAGAAAGATGTCAAGATAAGGACTGCAATAGACTCTGGGATTCAGAAATTGAAACTGACAGAAATGATTCGTCATCTCTTAAAACCGACTAAAATATTAGGCTAGCTGTTCTGGCCAAGCCTAATTAGAGCATCATCCCAATACTTCAAGGTCGCAGGTTTGATCCCCAGTCAAGGCATATATAAGAATCAAACAATGAATGCATAAATACACAGAACTCACAGATGTCTCTCTCTCTCTCCCTTGCTTGCTCTCTCCCCCCTCTCTTGAAAATAAAATAAAAGCTTAGGCCTGCTGGTACATTGAGGCAGAGGGAAAGACCGCTAACAACATTCCTTTAGAACAGTGGTCGCCAACCACCAGTTGGCGACCACTGCTTCAGGAATACAAGTTGCCCACAAAAGAAGGAAATAGCTGGGAATCAAACGCTTGCAATTCAGTGAATTTTTAGCCACACTTTCGGAATGCTACCACTATGGCAGTGTGGCCCAGTGTGCAGGGTGTGAGAGGGCAATTACGTTTCTCCAGGAGCTAAGTGTACACTACTTCCCTTCTCCTGGCCTCAGTTTCCCGGTGTGAAATGGCAATCTCTGAATTCCCTGCAGCAATCGAAATATTTTGATTCTATTGCAGAACTAAGACAATGCTAACCAACTGTCCTGACTCTTGCCTGACATTTCACAGGATAATTAGGAAACCTAAAAATAAACAAAAAAAAAAATGCATTTCAGTTACTATTGGAAATGGATATATTTTTCATTTGCTATGAAAAATCCTGTTTTTAGACTTGAGAGCACTGCTGTTGAATTGAGATTTTAAAAGAGAACCATTTATTTGCTCCCACCAGTTGCATGCCGTGAACATTGGTTTCACACTTCTCTCTTCTGTCATAGAGAAACTGGCTTAACAGTTAATACCCATGGGAAAGACTTCTGTCTTTCATGGACATCCCCACCCAATTTTTCAATTTCAGTAATTTTATTGGCAAAAGAGAGCATACCAATACTTGCCAAAATTAATACGTCAATGAACTAATATGTCAAGTGTGTCTCTTGCTTGAATTGGACATGCCAACAACTGACTAGAAAAAATTGGGATGGGAAGAAAGAGGGGAACAAAATGAAAACAGTGATTTTAAGAGTAGTACTACTATGCCCTTACAAGTAGGGAGTGAAGCATCAAAACAATGATAGATTAGCTGCATTAACAAAAAAATGAAGTAATAAGCTATTTTGAAATCACTGCTATAGGAATTTAGAATAGAATGCAAAAGAATCAAACTTTCTCACCGGAGAGAGAGAGATCCCAGAGGCTCTGAACTAAACTATTGGCAAAAACATAAGTCACTAATTGGCATTTTTCCCAAAATATGATTTCTTCAAAACAGGATGTCCACTATTCACCACAGAACCATTAATTCAATTCCCAATATAAAAATCACCTGTGAGTGCCACATGGGATTTTCACAACCCATTCAAAACAAAAGACCTAAATAAAACACCAATGCAATGTACATAATAATTTAGGGGTAGTACGAAGAAAATATATTTTGAAATAATATTTTGCATTTTTATAAAAGTCCACTCAATATCTCCAAAGAAAGTGCACACTCAAGGACTAAACAGGAGAGAACAGGGTGATCAACAGAATTTGAGGGAAGACCATGGGAAGTGGTAGCATGCTGGCCAATCTGTATGGTCAACTGCGGAATCTATGGCTTTCCACCTTATTTCCTCTTCATGAGGGAAAATTAGGGAGGCAACTATGTGCAAGGGTCTTGCATGATTTGGAAAGAGGTAAAAGAGCTCAGAATATCTGAGAACACACACACTCTGGCTAGGGGACCAGAATTGAATATTATCTATGTAAAATGCTTAGAAATCTACCCTACACACAGGTTAGTTTGTGGAGAAAGATTTGTAACTAGTATATGCACATACCCCTCCCTGGCAAAACAATACCTTAAATTTGTTTAATTTTACATTTTATTAAAAGCATTTATTTACAGATGCTATATACCTTGATTCTCACACAAAAATTTAACCAAGGAGTACACTGTAGTAGAGACTGAGATTTACCCTGGAATAGGTGACAGGACAAGTATTCATAAAAAAATATACATATATTAATATATCTGGGTTCCTTTCCCTTATACTATATTTGGTTTGTATACACTCAATACTTATAGGCCTGACACCCTTATCTATGACATGTATATGTTACTCTTAGCACAAACTGTAGTCCTAAGGGTTTTAAACATGTGTGACCCATGTATACTCAATCCAATGCAAGAAGTTGAATGTTAGTAAAAGCTTAAGATAATTAAACCACTGCACAGAATGAATCTTTTAGATTTTTATTAAATTCTGTCTCTTTCCCCTCCCCTCTCTCTGTCCCTTCTGCTTTAAATGTAAAGTTTATAACTTCAAATAAAGGAGGACTGAAGAGGTTTCTGCTTGGGACCAAGATGGAGAAACAGGGACCAGATTTATTCTACCTGGAATTACTAACAAGCGGGGCCACATCCATGATTCCAGAGGCTGCACTCTGGCAGCACAGGACAGCCATCCCTCATGAAGGAGAAACAAATGAGGTGAGCACTATGAAGGCCCAGCTAGTGTGGGAAGGGAGAGCCCAGAGCTTACAGAACAGAATGTCAGAGCGGCAAAGTCTGGACCCTCAGGTGTGTGTGGGGGAAGCAGGAGCCACACGAAAGAAGAGTCAGTGGGGTTCACAGAGGGCTTGGGAAAGGCTAAGTTCCCATCAGCCAGAACGAAGCCTCATACTGCAGCGAGCATCAGCTCGAGTCCTCAGAGAGGTGTTGCCTGGGAAGGGGACACAGTTAGTCCTGAGCAACATCTTCAAAGTAATGAAAGAAAAAACCCTCATTAACCCAGAATGCTATATAGCTTTTAGAAAGAAAAATACCATTTTGTCAGACCTGCTGCTAGACCTGCGCTACCATAAATGTCATCTATTCTTTATAGGCAGAAGGAGAGGGGCACCGTGTGGACATCTGAAAATACACGAAGGAATGAAGAGCAATGGAAAAGGTAAGTAAATAAGTGGGTAAATATAAAACACTTGATACAAGAGGAACAACATTACAATCTGTTTTCAAACTTATTACAAAGCTCTAGTGATCAAGTCAGGATGGTCTTAGCATGGAACACAAGAGAGTCCAAAAAGTAGCCTACCTGTGCTTCCACAGCTGACCTTTCAACACCGCGGCAAAAGATGGAGAAATGACAGTCTTTCCACCAAAAGGTGCTGGTGTAACTGGATATGCAAAAAATGACCCTTGATACTTACGCTTCCCATATATAGAAGCTTACTTAGAATTGACCACAGACTACATCTCAGATCTAAAGCTATAAAACTTCCAGTAGAAAACAAAGGAGAAACGTTTTGGTGACTTTGGCTTTCTTAAACAGGACATTAAAAGCATATAATGTAAATTAAAATATTAATAAATGTGCTTTGAATTACACTGACAAGAAAAATAATGTAAGCCACAGACTAAATTTTGTAAAACATCTAACATAGGATTCGTTCCCCGCCCCCCCCCCCAAAAAAAAAATAATCGGTGCCTAGCAAGTATAGAAAATCTTACAGAGCATCAAGACAAGCAGCCTGATAAAAAGTGGCCAAAAGATTTGATTAGATATAACCAAAGAATTTATACAGATTACAAGTAGGCATATAAAACTGCTTAATGTCATGAGAAGAATGCACCAGGTGACACACCGACTAGATGGGTAAAACAGAAAAGATGGCGCGTACCTGGACTTCTAGGATCGGAGCAGTGGCTTCTAACAGCTCTGCTGAGAATCAGGAGTCCTGCAGGCTAGGCCTGGCTCTCGAGGATCCGAGGAAGTCTTTCATCCTCCTACCCCTCCCGTCCAATACCAATGACAGCTACTCAGTCTACCTTACCAAGCTCTGGTGATGGTCAAGGGAAACCGGGCGCAGCCACTTGGAGTAAATGTTATTCTGTCAAAAGCTACATAGACATGAGTCACTCTGGAAAGTAAGTTAAAGAAAGTGATAGGAAAGATACATAATATCATGTTAGGTCTTTTCATTGTTCCTTATTGCCCTTAAACTATTTTGAATTACTTAAAAAAAAATTTAATATTTACTTAAAAGGTCTATAAATACAGGATGTTCCCCCAAAATGTATACACACTCTGAATAAAGGCAGTGTTTATTAAAATATATTTCATTTTCAAAATGTAATAGAAATCAGCTGTTAAAGTGTGTATACATTTTTTTGGGATACCTTGTACTTGCAAAAAATGACTAAAAATAATATACAATTATTTGTCTAAATTATGTTTACCATAACATTGAACTATTCTCTATGGTGCTAAGCATTATAATGACAAATAAGTTTGCAAACTTGATATTTATCATTAACCACATAATTTGGCAATAAAATCCACTTTTTACAAAGGCACGATATACATGTTAACAACTCAATCCTTTTTGAAAACATGTTTTTATTGATGAGAGAGAATCATCGATCGGCTGCCTCCAGCACGCCTCTTCCTGGGGATGAAGCCCACTACCTGGGCATGTGGCCTCACCGGAGTCGAGTCTCAATCCGGTTTGTGGGTCGGTGCTCAACCACTGAGCCACAGCCACCAGGGCAACAAGGCAGTCTTGATTTACTCCTTTTGCCTCTCCATTTCTCCTGGCAGCTTTGCAAGAACCCATGCCCTCAGTTTCTCGAGCTCCCCCGTGCTCAGCTCGTGGAAAAGCCCAGGGAAACTGTGGAACTTGGTGCTCACCCCTAGAGCCTGCAAGGCTGAGTTGGTCTCTTGCCCCCAGGAATGAAGGACGAGCTCGTCAGCAGTCCCGTGGCACTGGAACAGCTCGGGGAGCGCGCCGTCGCGCTTCTGAAGAGCCTGGAGCAGGACGGGCCAGTGGAAAGGTTAGAGGACAGAATTCTTGCAATTCAGAGAAAGCAGGGAAAACGCTAATTTTTACCAAAGCTTTAATATTTAAAGGGGGAAAAAGGTAGAGATGGTGCTGTCCCAGGCACCCAGGTGGGCCTGGCCCTTGGGCTCTGTTGTGTGTGATGTGTGACCTGCATTCACTCCACAGAGGTGGTCCATGCGTTTCCCAAAGAGACTTGGGGAGACAGATCTCTTTGGAGGGGAACACACATTCTAGTTCTCATTTCTACGGCTGCCACTGCGGCTGTTGGTCACAAAGCTGCAACACTATCCCAGTCCTAAGGGGGACACTGGTGGGAAACAGCGGTCAGCAAGGCAGCAGGCCATTCTAATTCTGTTCATGAAATAAGCAAACTTGGCTAGAATCCTCTACAGGGTGTCCCTGGAAATGTGCACACACCTTTCCTGACTGGTAGTATTTTAGTAAACACTGCCTTTAAAATTCATGTGCACATTTTGGGGGGAAACCTTGTATATGAAGGATCCATGTGTACCATAGATGCATTGTTTTTCCCCTTTGACACCTGGCTTCCCAATATTCTTCGTACAGGACATTTGATTAATTACTGGCTGGAATAAGACCATAGGACTAACTTGGCCTTGAACTGTTAATTATCAACTTTGTTTTAGTTTCAGTGAGTGAATATTTCATGTATTTTCCTGTTGCTTTTATTTTTAAAGCTGGAACTTACCTGGTAAACAGCAGAGGCTTTGTTCAGGAAGCTGGAAAGAGCGAACACGCCTGCCACATCTTGGTGATTTCTGTATGCCACATGCATCGCCATGCACCCTCCCATGGAAAAGCCTCCTGGAAGAAGTTAAGAGGTCACTCTCAGAAGCAGAACATGTGCAACAACACTTCACGACAAGACACACCTGTGCCAGGCTTCCTCAGCTAGTCTGTAAAAATAGATGAAGACAGACCTTTAAAGATGTGGCGCTAAGTTAGTCTACTTCAGATCTCACAGATAAGACCAGCTCTGAGTCCCATCCACGTCATCACTGGGAAGGGTATTTAATAATAAACATGATTGCTCTGTTAAATTATCAAGTAAAAAGATTTATAATTCAAAATGTGAGTCATGGTGCATTTTTATGCTTATAAGGCTTCACAATGCCACTAGAATTAATCACTTGCATCTTTTGCCAAGTTAGAAGCTATACTTCTAGTGCCTGCCACCGACAGATGCTTACTCCTCTGATCTAGGAAAGAGGATCAAAGACTGGGTGAGCTAGTTCAGACATTTTTGGATTACAATATTATTTTGAAAACTGACTATGATGGTATAATTGAAACATACACAACCTTTAAAAAAACAATTTACTCATTTGACAAACCTGCCACGCACTGTGTGCACACTGAGGATACGTAGATTAGTATGCACAAAGCTAGCACTCCCTTGGGCAGCACGTGTGTGAAAATACATGGACCCATGTTTGAGGGGGAAACAGAGACATCATAATGGAGACACAGCAGAGGGTGACCCAACCTCAGGTTAGAGGCTTGGTATGATATTCCCTGAGTTATTTCATGAGAAATACAAAAGTAAGCTGCATACTTGTGGAAATAGGAAAATATATTTTGGTATAGAATTCAGAGCTTTTAATTTCCAGCCTCCTGCTTTATTTCAATTAACAAAGTACAAAGCTGAGTCCGTAGGGACTGTATAAATTTGAATTTACTGCAATCTCCTTAGAGATGAAGGAAGCTTTAGCCACAGGCGATTAGATGACCTGGGTAAGGCTGTACCCTAAAGTTAGGACTTGTGAAACCCAGATTCCTTGCTAATACTGATTAAAATAGAACCATTTTACTGAGGCAGGCTGGTAACATTATTCTGGATCCAGGATACAAATCTGTAAGTAAAGATTGCCAGCCTTGGGAAATTCAGATTTTTTAAAAGGGCATAGTAGGGTACATATTACACCTGCGGTTTGCAGTAGAGAATCAGAAGGAAATAACAGGGTCTCACCAGTAGCAGCAGCTCACCAAGGATGGGAACAACTTGAAAGGCTCTTTCAAAACCACTCCCAAATGCAGATACATCTAATTAGAGGCTCTGGAGTAAGCCTGTTGGGGAGTAGGGAGCATAAATATCTAATATCTTAGAATTGTATGTAAACTTTGCATTTGTGAATCACACTTCAAAAAATGTTAAAAGCCCCAGGCATCATTATCTACGAATCTGTGCATTAAAAACATCTTTGCCGTGTCCCATTAAAAATTGAAGAGCTTACTATATACAAGATCATTTCATTTCCAGTAAAATTAGCTGAACAAGAAGATCTCTAGGGTTTCCATCACATTTTAAAACCTCTTCTATAAATGCTTAATAAGCACTTGTAAAAGTTCAAACAGCAAGGGCTTTCAAAATTTACAGTTATTATAATTACAGAACTTTACTTTCAGTTTGGGAATAAGTCTCCATACCTCTCAGAATATACTTTTAGCCTTTCTTTAAAGTTCACAAAATTGATCTTAGCAAATGCTCACCTTCTACTTCCTTCTCTTCCGATCTCCCCTCTTTTCACCATTTACGGACCAAAGGGATTCAAAGTTGCTTATCAAACACATTAACAATACACTTACATATCTAAAAATATCTAAAATGAGGGGAAGATGAGAAGGGTTGGGGTGAGACCAAGAGGTCAAGAACAAAAGAGAAAGGGAGGGGCAGCATAATTAAGAGCGAGACTGGACACTTAACTGCTTCCCCAAAGCAAGGTAATACTCAACAGAAAAAAGCAGACCAAGTTGTACTTGCACCTTTTCCTAGCACTGAATTGCTGGGTGGAATTTATCAAGTAGATCTTTATTATCAGGCCTTTTACATGCAGCCACTTTTGCTCTAACAGTCCAGGGCAGAAGACAACCCCCACTAGACTATGAGGGTCACGTGAGTAGGGATTTTTGTATATTTTATTCACTGATGTACCCTCCCTAGGCACGGAACAGTGCCTCGCACATAGAAGGTGCTTAATAAATACTTAATGAATAAATGAACAGTCAGCTGCAGTTCCCATCAGGATATTTCTGCAAGGTGACAAATTTACATCACCAGGACACGTGGCCTAACAACCATCACTGACAGAAAACATTCTCCACGTAGGAAATGTAATTATGAACAAACATAAATGCATCCTGCCAGCCTTTAACCTCAGGTTCAATTCTCATAACTTATAAGGGAGACAAATGTACTCAGAAATCTTATTTAAAAAGGTAATGTATGTCCCTTACACCCATTTATATTCTCAGGAGGTAATCTGCAATTTCTCACCAGCCATCTCTGACAATGCAGTCACCTTTAGCATCGGACACTGCTATGAAAAGGAACTTTGTGTATTTTTTTTTAGAATAGAAAAACATTAACACAAAGGGCTAGTTATTTGAATTCAATCTCCATCTAAACGTCTAAAATGCAATATAAAATATACTGTTCAATAAGTAAATACCAAATAGTAAACTCATTGTAGGTAATGGTTATAATGTATATTTATAGTTGCTGGCAAAGTATTAAAATGTCAAGAGTTAACATTTCAACATACATTTAAGATTAACGAGCTGAATAAAACATGTTAAAAAATAATAAACCTAGTTTTTATGAACTCCTTAAATAAAATAAAACAGAAACAATATATAAAAAAAAAACTGTACTGGGAAAAATAAGTTAATCTATCCGAAACAAAATCCAGAAGAAAAAATACAACTCAAGTTTACTATCAATTGAATAGGATTTTTAAAATGTAATAAAATCTGCCCTCCCTCCAAATTTCAACAATTTTTCCATTTAATTATATGTTAAGCTACAGACTGAAGTGTGATAATGTCTCAAAAGATATGAGATTATATATTTATATATTAGTATATTTTCTCTCACACAAAATTTATAGAATAACCAAAATATTTGTCATCAACTATGCAAAACTGTTAGGACAGCAGTTCTACTGCTTGAAAATCCTGATAATAGTTGTTAAAGAAATGTAAGTTGCTTAATTAAGACATACATGAGTTAAAAGCAAGTAGGATACTATGTTCTTAAATTTTAGCTCCAAGAAAGAGCTGCAGAAGACACTCCTAATTTTGACATGTCAAAAAATTCATGTTAATAGTTAAACACTCTAAATGTATAATTTTATACCTTTTCCATGTAATACTGATTCGAAAGTCTTTCAAAAGAATCACAAAATCCCTAATTATAATTTTATTTATTGAACCGAAACTTACTAAATGCCTTCTATCTGACAGTATATACAGTATTTAATGTTTACATAATATTCATCTGTATTAACAGACCATATATAACTTCTTTAATCATTACCCTCAAGAAGGGTATTTTGAATTCTACTTAGATATAATTCCAGAAGCACTTGCTTCTTTCTCCCTGCTTCAAAAATTCTCATAATATGCTCCTATTATCAAAATTCTTATAATCTGGTCATATCATTTGTTAAGATCTATACATCACAGATCAAAGTTAAACCTAAATTACATCAATTTTCTCTTAACAAATCATCACCACCTAGTGGCCAAAAAAGGAATCTCATTCTGTACAAAGTTCTTGCCTGAGTCCATGGGTCTGGGTTCTAGTCCCAACTCTATTTTGCATTAGCCAGCAACCTCTTGGGTGTTTGGTTTCATCATAACTGAAATGAGAATAAATTCCCACTCAACCTATTATAAGGCCCAAGAGACAGATATGAAAACAACCTGTATAATTTAAACACTAAATATGAAACATTATGATATATAACGGCAATTTAAACCTGTCACTCGCAATGTAAATGTCAACTTTTTTTAGTAGTATTACTACCATATATAATTTCTAAGCACAACAGTGCACACAAGGAAAATTATATACCTTTTCCACTTTGATTTCTCACATTATGCAGGAACATACCAGAAGGAAAGGGAGAGTACACCAAAGTAACAGAGAAGCAGACTGTAATATGAAATACACTTACATTCTGCATACTGGACACTTCCTTCACCTTGTTAATCAAATCAGAAGGCCGGACTATGCAGGGGTGGGGAACATCTGGCCCGAGGGCCGTGCAGTGCCCTCAAAATCATTTGGTCTGGCCCTGCCAAGGCATTAGGGGTGAGTTAATTAAATGTTTGACCAAATACAGCAGGGCAATTTCTAAGTTGATAATTCTGTATGGCTCACGAATAATGTTATAAATATTCAAATGGCCGTGGCAGAAAAACAGTTCCCTACCCCTAGGATAATGTTATGTCATGAATGATTTTCTCAGAATGTAGGACTTGCCCCAGGTTTTATTTATAACTACACTGCCAACATGGAGAACAAAATTCCAAAGTCACTATTTTATTGCCTGTGCTTCCCCCTTTTCTCATACCTTTTGTGGAATCATGTTCGGTATAAATATATAAAATTAAATACACACACTTCTTATGTAGAGAGCGAGGACTCACACATGTCTCCGAGGAGCACACTGCCCTGAAAATACCTCCCTCGGTATCAGGACTGAGCTAGGCGGTGAGCCTTGGCCCAGCTCTTCCTATTAGGCCAAAGCTTATCTTTTCCGTTAGGAAGGTAATATATTTCCATTGATAAAAAGTAAGAGAGTGTGTTTTCACTGCTAACACCCGAGGTTGAGTGCCCTTAGGTACCCTCCTAATAATCTGTTTTCAAAACCTGACACAGCACATGCATTAGTCTTTCATCCCTCTAATGAGGCCGCACATCTGCCTTCTCGCTATTCTCTTGGCTTCACACTGGCCGCCCTCCATGGTGTTGTTGAGCACAATTTTTATAAAATGCACACTCTTAATGTCATTCTCTGCATATAATTCAAAATCCCTAGGGTTCAGGGTGTGCACTAAACTAGTATTTCCAGAGAGAATCTGACATGCCTCTCGCTTTCTTTCATGAACGTTTCCCTCATATTCTGACTCATTCTTTGTAACTCGGTTGGAATCAGTCTCCTAAGCAGCAGTTCTTAACTCCCTAAAAGGGTCACTACTACTTTCCTTACTGCTCACCCTGTATCTTGAACACATTTTACAATAGCACTTGTACTGTATTAGAACACTTGAATTCTATATCTCCCTAATTAGACTAACATTTTTGATTTATTTATTTTTTAGTACTTCAGGTCTTAAAATTTTTAACAATCTGGAGACTGAATTTAGTATCAGAAGTACCGAGAGAAGGCTGGATATTGCCTACTATAAAAAAAATGTTCTTAAAACACTAAGTTTAATATAATAAAATGCCATTAATGAAAATAAAACCATGGAGAAAGAATGGGATCCCACTTACTCAAATAGAACAGTTTTGTTTACAAAGTTAAACTGATTGCAATTATAACCACAAAGTGTATATTGTGTGATATTAAATAGGAAATTTTATCACATATTAAGAGGCCCAGTGCACGAATTTGTGCATGGTTGGGGCCCTGCTGGCAGGGCCCCAATCAGCAGATCGGGTCAGGCCTGTTGGAAGGAGACAGTAGGAAGTTGGCCAGCTGGCCAGCCTGCCACTGATCAGAGCTGGGCTAGTTGAGGGGAGGGGGCCGTGGGTGATTGGCTATTTGGCCCCGCCCCTGACTGGGATGAGGGGCTGATTGGCTCAGGGGCTAGTCTTGGGGAGGGGCTGTGGGCTGGCCAGCCCCTCCCCCAATTAGTGTGTGTGTGGTGGGGGAGCGATCAGGGGTGGAGCTGACTGGGAGAAAGGGCTGTGGGCTGATTAGGGTGGTGGGGGCTGACTGGGGGTGGGGCTGTGGGTGATGGGCCGGCTGGCCCTGTCCCTGAATGGGTGTGGGGGGACTGATCGGAGCCGAGCTGGCTGTGGGAGGGGCCGAGGGAGGTTGGCCAGCTGGCCCCACCCCCCAATCTGGCTAGTTCCTGTCATAGTGACCAGTCCTTAGTCTTTATAGCGTCTGGTTGCTGGCTTTTTATATATATAAACAAAAGCAATAAGGACAGTTTGTGTACCCATAACTTCCATTTTCAATAATTTTCTAGTTTTTTCTCTCACAATTTTTTAAAGTAACCTAATATCATTCTGATGTGTGTCTAATAAAATTGTTGAGAATCTCAAAGCACTTTTTCTTTGATTTCCTACTGAATCCTTCCTTAAAATGTTAATAGCACTTAAACCTTATTAACATGTAAATAAGAGTATTAATTAGACTATTTTCTTTTTTATGAATGATTTTATGATTTTATTGTAAAGCAGTTTCTCATCCTCTCATCCTCATCTTTTCTTTCCCCTCTCATCACATTTCTTCCGGACCTCATTTCCATGTAAATTCAGTAACTGGGGTTTCTACATCCAATGTCAAAACTCCTCACTTATCCCTTCTGCCAGACTAATTTTCCTAAATCATAACTGTAATTAATTATATGACTCAAACATCTTCTTCAATCATCGCTCATCAATTATCTATAGAATAACGGGTACAAGGGAAACCAGAAAGAATCTACTGAGAGTCTAAATGACCAAGTGCTTTACAAACACCATCTCCCAGTAGGTAGACAATGCATCATTAGCCCCCTGGACAGGTGAGACAGCAGAATCCAAACAGGCAACGACAGACTTAGCCTGGGACTCATTTTTGTCCCTAATAGGCTCTTCAGCCTCCTAGTCTAGCTACCAGAGTCAACAAGGCATTTTCCATTCAGACACCAAACTTTCTACTAAAACCATGTAATGTCCAGACAAACAAGCACTACTTTTTCTGCTTGTATGTACTGTTCATGTAATTCTCTATGCCTACACCTGCACACTATGAACAGTTCAATTTTTATCTATACATCTAAAAACTCCAATGCCCCCAGCTACCTTCCCACTAGACTTCTCTAACATCCTCAAATACCTAGGATCTCTTCTGAATCCTTGTGGTACTTAATGACTCAAGTTAACAATTCACTGACAGGTCATGCTACGCGTGACAACTTTCCCAGACACCACTCTGTGCCAGAAATGGCGCTGGGTCCTGGGAAATAACAATGAATATGTGTGATCACTCTCTTCAAGGAGTAGGCAGGTATTGGGCTATAGAGCACTCATCATCAGCTGCTTAATTTACAGTTGTCATTGAAAGTACCTCCTGGGCTCTTCCAGGTTGTAAACAATTGTGAGATAGATCCTGTATTATTTAGCTATGTATCCCTTTGAGCATCTAACACATTGCCTGCACACAGGAGGAACTTAGAAAATATTTGGTAAACAACTGAATATAATGGAATCGGTCATACATGCACACATTTTTAATTATGTCCTGTAAGTATGTTGTCCAATGCCCTAGACCCGTGGTCAGCAAACTGCGGCTTGCAAGCCACGTGCGGCTCTTTGGCCCCTTGAGTGTGGCTCTTCCACAAAATACCAGTGGGTGAGTCTATTTTGAAGACATGGCATTAGAAGAAGTTTAAAAAAAATTGGCTCTCATAAGAAATTTCAATCGTTGTACTGTAGCTATTTGGCTTTGTTGACTGAGTTTGCCGACCACTGCCCCTAGACGGAATTGGGTGCCCTTCCCTGTGCTCTACCCAGCACTTTCATAATGTTATACATTTATCTGCATTAGAGTTAAACAGAGTTGTTAAACATAGATACATAGAAACTCAGAGTTAAATATAGATAAGAAAATAGGCCCATAAAAGGTGACATTACTGTAAACATCCAATCTCATTTTTATATGTAGTATAAAAATAGAGATATTATAGTTTATGTATTTGATGATTACAGACAAAAGGGTATTAAGTAGAATAAAGAGTTTATATAAAGGCACATTATAGCCCTATAAGAATAAAAGTTGCTCAAGTTAGTTAACAAAAGTTTATAAATACCTTATTCCTGTGGTACTAACTCTGCAGAGTTGATTCTTCTTAAATTCGATGTTATATTTTGACTGTGTACTTTATCTTAATCATGGCAACAGAAGTTTAAACATATAATAAAACTTAAGCTAATTAAAATAAATTGTTTTAAAAACTGAAATGAATAATCTCCTAATTAAAATTAAACATGGGGCTCTCAAACTGTTATTATTAAAATGAAAGGGAATTAACGTTTCATGAGTTATTGTTTATAATTCTAATATCTTTGAAACCCTTAGTTTATTTGATACTATAAACAGGTCAAATGATATATAAGTGCTTCTAAATAATATTCCAAGGAAAGTTCAATGTAACAAATTTAAACAAAAGTAAAAAGAAAATGAAATTACCACATTTGAAGGTCTTACCTATTAATATTCTATTCTTCTTGATGCCACTTTTTACTTCGTCATTAATCAAGTCTGTGAGCACCTGACACATCACATCGATGGACTCAAGGTGCTCTGGGCAGTCGTTAGAGATTTTAAATCTGTCAAACCACACATTGGAAATTCCTCCTTTCATAGGAGTATAGGGTCTGTTTAAAACCAAATGAAAGAAAAAGAGATGACATTAAGTTAGACTTTTTATATTTTCTAAGATCTAAGGTAAATTTTTAAATTCCTAGGGTTTTGAATAAATCATTTCAATTTCCTCCAAGTTTTATAAATTGAAAAATTCCTATTAAGAGCACCCCCTTGCATGCGGCATTAGCTCACCTATACGTATATCGATTCCATTAACATTTACTAAAGCCAGTATATGTTTAGTTTCTCCATTTTTAAGATTCATAAATTCTCCAAAAATCCTCACAAAAATTGAATTATATATATATTAAGTATGTAAATAGTATGTATTTTTGCTTTATTTTTAATAATGATTAATCAGATCTATTGTTTTTAAAAATTTCTGTTTTTCCTCTTTAATGTAAGAATCAATATTTTAGTATACAAGGCTAACTGAATAATGCTTGTCCATGCAAAAAATTCAATACCCCAAGAATGAAAAAATTCAGGGAGTGCTTTTAAAAGTTGGTTAATTCACAGCACTCAAATATCCAAGGTGAGCTAATAATTTGGGTCTGAAATTGGGTGCTTTGTAAGACTTATAAGACATTTTATGTAATAAGATGCTCTGAATTGGGTCTTGTTGAACAGGGTTACTCCCATCAGATTCTTTACATTTTTGTCAAATTGGGATGGTTCCAATACTAGTGAATTAACTCATTCACAGGATATTCATACTCTGAATGAAGCTAAAGTGCCAAAGGTACCCATCACAATGTAAAATGCCAAAGGTACCCATTACAAGGAATGTAAACCAGTGATGACCACAGATGCAGAATTCCTCCTACATCTACTCCCGGGCCTATTTTTGGTTAGCTGTATACTCTCACCCTCCAGAATCAGTGAAACTGTGTGAAATGTTCACCAGAGAAAAACACTGGAGGATACGAGACACTAGCTGAGCCCTGATGGTGCTTTCCTTTATCTTCTCTAGTGAAGCCTAGTGGAACCTCAGCAGCCCAGGGAGCTATAAATATTTAACTCTTATTATTTTATCCATTGTATCAAAAGGACCCTCAATCTGTGCAGATCTGCCCTGGGGAAGCAACCAAGCTTTTAGATCAATAGGTGGAACTGAAGAGGGCAGGAGAGCTACACCATCATTTTTCTGTATTGATTATAGACCACTTCGAAAGACATGGGCATCCACTTTGTGAGCCAAGAAATCAAGAGGAAGACATTTGGAAAGTTTCTCAGACGAATTGAAAGAAATCTAGAAATAAGAACTCATCTACACAGGATCTTTTATTTACTAAAATAGAATCATGTTATAAACATTACTTTGCAACATGCTTTCTGAAACTTGAATGTATATCTTGCCCAGACAGCATGGCTCAGTGGTTAAGCATTGACCTATGAGCCAAGAGGTTGAGGTTCAATTCCCAGTCAGGGCACATGTTCAGGTTGTGGGCTTGATCCCCAATTTGGGGCCTGCAGGAGGCAGCTGATCAATGATTTTCATCACTGATCTTTCTATCTTTCCCTTTCCCTTCCTCTCTAAAAATCAACAAAAATTAAAAGAAAAATAATCCATAACATTAAAAAACAAACAAACCTGGAATGTAATCGTGAATATCCCTATAAAACAGTATATAAAAACCTAGCATTTTCTGTTTATTTCAATACATGATATTACATACCTATATATCTATGTGTGTGTATGTGTATGTATATGTGTTGCTTTGATGTTTGTCACATAAGTCCTTATTTTTTGCACCATTCCTCTTCACCACTCTCACTCCCCACCCCCCAACCCCAACCACATATCTTGCTTGTCACATTAGGTTTTTCTGCTCAGGGCCATTTAGATATAACATCATTCGAGGGCCATACAAAATGATCAACTTAAAAAGTAGCCTGTCATAGAAAACACCAAAGACTCCATAAAATAGCTATTACACTTGATGAATGAATTTGGCAATGTAGCAGGATACACCTAATGCAGGAGCTGTCCCCTGGTGGTCAGTATGCTCCCATAGCCAACCTCCCACAGCCCCTCCCCGTGGCAGGCAGGCCCGGACTGGCCCCAATAGGGACCTGGCAAGATAACCTTGTTCAGCTCCGATCACTGGCCAGGCCGAGGGACCCCACCTGTGCACGAATTTGTGCGCTGGGCCTCTAGTATCTTACGATTGAGATGGTTCACAGTGTAGTCAACAATTCCCCTTCTGATTGGCATTTATTTGGTACTCAGGTTTTAGCCACCACGAATGCTACATTAAATATATTTGTATATGTGTTTTTACCTACTGGAACTTATTCCTATGAAAGAGTCCAAAAACAGGTCTGCTGGATTGAAAGGTATAATCTTTATCTTAAAATGTGTTTTAAAGTAATTTCCATAAAAGTTATAAATTAACCTTCCGACAGGGAAACATAATAGCCCTTTGCCCACAGCCCTAACAGCAATCGGTGCTAACACCCTTTAAAATGCTACCCCCGAAGGGTATCAACTATCGTTTTAAAATCAACTTTATTGAGGAATAATTTATAGATATAAAAGTGCACATTTTAAGTATATAGTTCAAAGACTTGACAATGTAACCACCATTGCCACATGATACAGAACATTCCCTTTTCTCAGGCAAGGGAAATGTCTCTTGGCAAGCAATTCACATTCCCTTCCCAGGCAACCAGCGGGGATTTTCTCTCTAAAGATCAGTGCTGCCTCTTCTAGAACACCACACGCGTGGAACTACCTGATCATATCATTTGCTTTTTGCTACTGTGCTTTTTTAATTTTTTAGTAATTTAGAAGAGTGCTTTGTTTATTATTGACACTTAAATATATAAAATACCAGTGTATTTCACAATCTAAAACAAATACTCCAAAAATTTATATGGAACTTATAAAAACCCCAATGGCTGCAGCAATCTTGAGAAAGAAGAACGAAGTTAGACGCAATACCATGTATCAAGAAGCCCAAAATACGTATCAGAAAGAATGTATGCACTTCTATGTTTCTAGCAGCATAATTTACAATAGCTAAGATCTGGAAACAGCCCCCAAGTGCCCATCAGTAGACGAGTGGATACAAAGTTAATGTAATCAAAACTGCATTGTACTGGCACAAGAACAGGTATATAAATCAATGGAAAAAAACAGAGACCCCAGAAAGAGACGCCAAGCCATTGCGATCAGTTCATTTTTGACAAAGGAGGGAAAACATACAGTGGAGTCTAGACAGCTTCTTCAATAAATGTTGTTGGGAAAATTGGACAGATACAAGCAGAAAAATGAAACTAGACCACCAACTTACACCACATACAAGAATAAACTCAAAGTGAATAAAAGACAAATGTAAGTCGTGAAACCATAAAAATCCTAGAAGAAACCATAGGCAGCAAAAACTCAGACATCTCTTGTAGCAGTATGTGTATGGCTACATCTCCTAGGGCAAAGGAAACCAAGGAGGAAATAAACAAATGGGTCTACAGCAAAATAAAAGGCTTCTGTACAGCAAAGGAAACCATCAACAAAATGGAAAGGGAGCCCACTGTATGGGAGAATGATATATCTGATAAAGGTTTAATATCCAAAATATATAAAGAACTCATACAACTTAACAAAAGGAAGATGAACAATCCAATTAAAAAGTAGGTTAAGGACCTAAATAGACACACCTCCAAAGTGGCCATAAAAATGGCCGAGAGACATGAAAAAAATGCTCAAAGTCACTAATCATCAGAGAGATGAAAATAACAATGAGATATCACTTCACACTTATCAGAATGGCTCCCCATCAACAAATTAACAAATGACTAGTGCTGGAGAGGATGTGGAGAAAAGTGAACCCTACTATATAGCTGGCGGGAATGCAGACCGGTGCAGCCATTATGGAGTTTCCTCAAAAAAATTAACTGTGGAACTGCCATTTGACCCAGTGATCCTTCTTCTAGAAATATATCCTAAGAAACCCAAAATACCAATCAGAAAGAATGTATACACCTCCTACTATTCTCAGGCATCCATTCTTATTTACCCACCTAAAAAGTTATCAAATAGTCAATTTTAAAATAATTTAAGATAATTCCCCTTAAAAATTATCGTGGAATTTTAATGAATCTTGCATGATTGCCTGGGAATTAGCATTTTATGACAAGGCCTGAGAGGGAAGATTTTTGCAGACTAGTTTCTCTCAGGACAGGCCCATTCTGATCCTCTTCTAAGGGTCCCTCCTGCCTCATTCCCAGGCTGTCAGTGGTGCAGAGATCAAATCCTGCACTGGCTCATATTGCGGCTCCAATGGAGCCTAAATTCTCTCGCTCTCCTGCAATCCTCCTGACCTCAGAAGCCTCTGTTCAAGAGAGATAAATGAATTGGAATCAGAAGGGGAGAGAAGATCGAAAGCATTCAAGCCTATCACATCCCAGAATCCCTTTCTCAGGATTAACTTTCTTAAAGCCCTCTGAAAATGAAGGCAGGTACTTTCCACCTAGTATTAATGTCACTGCCAGACAAAATGAAATTCCAGACTGGATTCAATTTGTCATGAAAACCACAGTGATGTTCTGAATGAAAAACTGAACATATCACTCACTTTAAAGGTGAATTCAACGGTTTTTCTCTTGAATTATTTCTATTTCCCTTTTCATTTTATTCTGCTCTTTCTCTAAGTGTTTATTTGTCTGTCTAAGCACTTAAATAAGGATGATATCATAGGCTAAGATATGAATCATTCTGGGAACACAGCCATTAATAGAAAAAATGGCATTCATTTAACTTTTTTGTCTCTGACAGTGCCTTACTTAGGGATTGATGCTCCATGGAGGTGAAATCCCAATGTAAGTTTTACTAATATGGTTGCCTTTGGTTCTATCAACTGAGAAAATTAAAATTCTGTTCAAAGAAGATAATTGGTAAAATTTACTGAGGCAAGAAATACTTTAGAACTTTTCTGTTGTGAAAACATAAGAATAATTCTCTTAAGATGTTAGAATAACTGTTAAATAAAGCATAAAAGTAAGATTGTTTTTTAAAACAGCTAACAAACTGGTACATATGTTATACTCATTTACCTTCCTCAAATAAATCACTTTATTAGCTGGTATAAAAGAGCTCAGACATTACCACAATAAATAAATATGTTAGGCAGAGAACATCTGTGGGGCTCCTAAATCAATCAATCAGTCAAACTATTACACACTGGCAAAATATTAAGCTGGAATAAAATACCCTAAGTTAACAGCAACAAAAAAACGAGTTGACATTCATTCAGCCTGATATCAAATTCTGTTTTGATCTGCATTCCCTAAAAGTCATAACATCCATAGTTCATTCATAACCTTTAAGATAATGTCATCTGACTCAGTTTTCCTTTCTATCATCATTTCACGGTGCTTTCCAATGTCTACATTTCCCTCCTGCTTTCCTTCAAACCGGACAGTCCGGTACTGATCCGAGGTCATTGCATTTGATATTCCCCAAGCTGGAATGCTCTTTGCCACATCCTTGCATGACGGGCTCAACTCAACTGTCACTTCCCCTTCTTTGACCCTACAATTTACAGTATATCTCCCTTCCATCCAATAATGCAGACACACAGCCTCCCTATCCCATTATCCTACTTAACTGTACAGAATGTGTCACTATTTGAAATTAATACACTTAATTTCTCTCTCTTCTTTTCTATTTCTGTACGAGTTCTCTAAGAGTGGGGACTTTCTCTCCTACAGGGATACCTCCAGTGCCAAGAACAAGTATTTGCTGAATAATGGATGTCAAAAATCATCTATGTCACTTGGATAATTTGTGTCAGGTAGAAATAAAAAAAAAAATCTAAACCTTTTATTTTGCTCTGAATTTCTTTTCACTTTAATTCTTCTAAAATCCATATTCTAATTTCTAGAAAAACGTCAAGTGTTACTTTTGTTGCTTTTTCAAAAAAGAGCATGAAATATGCTGTTTAAAATACAAAACAAGTAGAACTATTTCTTCAAAATAGCTGTTTTGGACCTAAATCAAAAGTGCTTAATACTGTTTTGGAAAACATGTTTAATGAAAAATATAAACATGTAATTCGTGTGAAAAAAATAGTGAATCAAAAAGTAGAAGCATTATGCAAAACTTATAACTTAAAAAAAATTTTTTTAAACACCAAGCAAAACTACATATCATATAAATTATTAATGGCTTGTTAAAAATTATTATTTTTAAAATGGAAATTCTAATAGTAAACTCAAACCAAGAAAACCTCTAATTACAAATACAACTAAAGTATGTTATAGAAATAAAAATATTTTATTGAGCACTTTAGTTAGAGTCCAAATTAATATAATGAAAAAAATGAAGCAATATTTTCCATTTAAAACGAAACAAGCTAATTGCTGACTTTTACTTAGTATGCCCTTAACTGAGCCGACTAAAACCACCTATTAAGTAAGACTGAGGAAAGGAATATCTTATGGCCAAATGGCAATTTACAATTTAATCAAAACACTGATATGCTTTAACAGACCACAATATGATAAATATAATATGCTACTGTTCTCCTCTTTAAATTCTTTCAAGTTATGTGTAACTGTTGAAAGCAAATATCAGAATCTTGTTTGGTAGAGTTTTCAGTTTGCAGATGACATACATATGACAAGTGTAACATACAGAGGGGAGGATAAAGGATCCTGTATGGTTGTACGGTGATTAAATGTAAAAGTCATTAAATAAAACAACACTAAATAGGTAAAAGCTTTGATAAATACCTTAAGCAATAAGGACAAAATTAAGAATAGATAAATAAACATGGAGTATTAAAAAATTCAAATAATAAAAAAAAAGAAAATGGAAAGAGAAAAGCAGAAAAAAAACATAGACTTAAAAGTAAACTTATCAATAGTTACATTAAATGCAAGTGGTCTAAACAAATACTTAAAATACAGAGACTAGATTGGTTAAAAAAAAAAAAAAAAAAGCCCAAATAAATATTGTCTATAAGAAACCCACATTAAATTTAAAGATATAGATAGGTTAAAAGCTAAAGATGAAGAAATGCATACTATGTGAGACTCAAAGTAAAGCAAAAGAATGGAAAAACAGTATTAACATAGGAAGGCATATATCCTCCTGTCTAATAAAAGGGTAATATGCACATTGACCATCACTCCAACACACAAGATGGCCCAGAAGATGGCCAGCAGAGGAGGGCAGTTGGGGGTGACCAGGCCTGCATGGGAGGACAGTTGTGGGGGGAAGGGGAGTGCACAAGACTAGCAGAAGAGGGCAGTTGAGGGCGACTAGGCCTGCAGGGGGGCAGTTAAGCGTCGATCAGGCTGGCAGGGGAGTGGTTAGGGGGTGATCAGGCTGGAAGGCAGAAGCAGTTAGGGACAATCAGGCAGGTGAGCAGTTGAGAGCAAGAAGACCTGGATTGTGAGAGGGATGCAGTCAGACATCCCTCGAAGGGTCCCAGATTGGAGATGGTGCAGGCTGGGCTGAGGGACACCCCCTGCCCCCATTGAATGAATTTCATGCACCAGGCCTCTAGTACACTATATTATTAAACAAAGTACATGTCATATCCAGGTATTAGTAGGGATAAAAAATTCCATTATAATATAAAAGTAGCTACTAATAAGGAAGACAATAATCCTACACAGGCATACACCTAATAATATCACTTAAAAACACACCAGGAGAAAGAACCAAGGGAAGGAACAGACTAATCTGTAATCAGAGTTGGAGATTTTAATATACCCATTCTTCAGGACCTAATAAAACAACTTTGGAGATCCTAAAATGGTGGTAGAGTAAGTGGAAGCTACTCGGACACTCTCCCAGGACCAAACTGGAAACACAATTAAAATACAGAAGAACCACCATGAAAATTCAGTGGAAGATTCTCTGGAGAGAACCCTGATAACCAAGGATGGAAAGTGGAGATTGCAGGCACTGGTAGGAAGTGCACAGAGGCGAAAGGGGTGGCTGGGCTCCTGCACACAGCAGCTGAAGGCCTGGAGATATCTCAGCTGTGGGGGAGGATCTGCAGGGCTAGAAGAAGTGGAGTCCTGTAGGCCATGCTTGCGACAAAGTTTAAGATAAGAGCTCCAGAAAAAGCTTTACAAAGAGGGAGTAAATTACCTCTCAAAACTTAGCCCAATAGTGTAATTACTGAATAAATACATACATAAAGTCTTTTTAAAAAGGCATCCCAATTTAAAATATAAAATTAAGCTTAAAGAATATCTAGTCAGTACATCGACAGTGTATGTATGTTGTATGCCAAAGCGCTATCCTAAGCATTGAGATCAATTACTACTTACCTGGCAGGAGCTGTTGGATAAATAATTTTTATGTGTTGGAATGCTAAATCTTGATTTAAAACCTGCTTGATCCAATTTTTCAAACCTTGTCCAGAATCACCTGATGAATAAAAAAAAATCTAGATTAATATAAACATTTTGACAATGTATTTAAAAACAGTGTATTTAAAAACAGTCCAAAACTTTCATGTCAAACAGAGGATGTAACAAGGAATATAAAAAAAAAAATATCTCCATACATAAAAATAACTGCAGAAACTGATTTATAAATATGATCAGGCATCAATAGGTAGAAATAATTTTGATTACTCCTAATTTCACCACTGATCACTTTAAAGACCTTATTTAAGCTTGAGCTATAAGTTTCCTCACTTGTTTAAAGGTTATAATAGAAACACATAAATGAAGTAAATAAATTTTTCTAAATAAAATTCTTATTTTTTTTCCTGACTTTAAATAGCCATTTCTTATCTTTACTCTTAAAAAGAGTTAATTCCTAAAGTGCTTATAAATTTTTATAGTTGGAACAACCTACAACTATTTTTTTGGTTAAAATAATAAAATCCTTCAAAAGGGTATTCAGCATGTTTGTATTTTTAAACTCAAGAAATTAGAATTTAACTTTGAGAACATGTTTACATGATCTAAAATAATGATTATACGTTCCACGGCTAAAAAAAAATCACCAAAATTCATGCAAGAATAAATGTATGTGTATATCCTTTAAAAAAAATGAAGGAAATATAGCGCATTTTATACTGTCCTGAAAAGGAAACTTAAACGGTAACAACTTTAATTTTTTAGTCAATCAATTCAGTAAGACAATTCAAAAAACACCTACTGAATACAAATTAATGTGTCAGGCGCTGTGTTCTCTGCTAGAGGCAGTGATGGGAAGGTGAGGGGAGAAAGAATCCCTGGCCTCCTGGAGTATAAGTTCAGTGTTAGAAAGAGACATTATAATCATTTACATGTATGAGAAAGAATGTAACCGCTGCAAAAACAACATGTGTGGTGCTGTCAGGGTTTAGCATCTTCAGAAATGACCCAGCTAAGGAGTTCAGGAGTAACTTCACTAAAATACAAGCTCTGCAAGGTTCATTCTGTGTTTTATCCACTGAGTCATTTGTTCACTTAATGCTTACAACAGGACTGACCCAAACCGGGTGTCACGGGTAGTTGTTGAATGGTGTGAACTCAAGCGGGTAGTGGTTGAATGGTGTGAACTCAAGCGGGTAGTGGTTGAATGGTGTGAACTCAAATCTACAGGATGGTGGAAAGACCATCTCAGATACAGCGAAAGGCAAACAGGAATACCCTCTGTTGGAAGGAGCAGTATGATATCTAAGAACTGAATAGAAGTGAAAGGAAGAGCAGTGAATTGTAGCTGAGGTTAGTGACACCCATTTAAAAATAGCCATAATAAAGAGTTTGGCTGGCCTTTGTTCCCAGTTCCTAAGAAAGAGGTAACCTCTAAACCCTTAGAATTTCCTGAGCGATTAGAGCGTCTTTGTTATTCATGGAAGGGCCTGCAAACCACAGGACAGTTTCACTGAGATGACTCAGGGTGGGAGCTGGCCAGCCAGAAAGACCAACCATGTGATTAGAAGGTTGGGGCTTTGAACCATATGATATCAGTCTGACCTCCAGGGAATGGAGGAGGCTGGAGATTTGAGTTGAGTGCCAAATCAATCATGTCTATGCAATAAAACACCAATAAAAACTCTGGATAAAAGTTCAGGTGGAACTCCCTTTGTGACAATATTCTTTTGGGTATTGTCAGACCTCAGTGCTGGGAGTTAATTCATTACTGAGGATGACAAAAGACTCAGGTTTTGAACCCTCCCTGGCTTTCCCTTCATTGCTCTTTTTTTTGGCCGGTTCTAACTTGTATTCTTATGCCATAATAAAACTGTAATTATAAGAAAATAAATGGGGCTAGAGAAGCTGAAGAAACCTGACACATCCTGAGAGCACAGAAAAAGTAGATAAATATTTTTGGCAGGAAGGTGGCTTGCTCGAAGGATCACCTGGGAACTGTGAAGACAGAACTGAAGGACAAAAGATGTGGAGACCAGTTAGGAAGGCTACTGTTCAGGTGACAGATACTTAGATGAGCGGAACAGCAGTGGAATATACAGAAATAGGAACTAGAGATATTAGGAGCTAAAATTAACAGAAATTTGTAAGATATGAGGGGGGGGGGGTTGTCATTGGTAAAAGGTTTCAAGACTGACAGTGAGACTTGGGCCAGACTTGGGCCTTTGTTAGCTTTGTTCATTGCTGTATGCCCAGAGCTGCGAACACAGTGGCCATGTAATAGATAGTTCTTGAATGAGTGGACTAATGCATTAGTGATTGCTAGGCTAGTGGAGAAACGTGTCTTGAGCTCAACTGTGATCTAAAATGGAGACACACATTTGTGCTTCCTGGATTTGGGTAAAAATACAACCTGTGGGCTTATATGGAGGTTAGCCCAGGGAGAGGAATGTGAGATGAGAAGAGGACCTAGGACCAAATATTGAGGAATCTCAACATGAATAGCCAGAGAAGGACGAGTCTGCAAAATAAACCAGAAGAAGCAAACAGAGGTGGAAAGAACCAGGACAGTGTCTCAGGAAAGCTGAATGCTGCTGACAGTTCACATAAGAGGAAGACTGAAAAATGACCGTTACTTAGCAACACTGGCGACTTGAAGAGCCAACCCAATCAGCTGGCCAAGGCTCACTGAGATAGGCGGGCTGCTGCTCCCTGGGCCCAGCTGGCAGGAAGCCAAGGCCTTCCCTCCGCCTACAACCAATCATCACCAGACTGAAGTATACTGCTGCCTGTGACATCTATTTATTTATTTTTGGCAGGGTTGGGGGCAGCAATTAAGTTTTTCTTTTCCCTTGTTCACACATGAACACTAGCAAGAAAGACTGTCCTTTCCTGATCTCCCCTCATTGAACTGCTAAAGAAAAATATCACATGGTACTGAGACACATGACACACGAAGAAGCATGTAGTCATGCTGTGCAAGCACCAGAAAAACCTTGCCTCTGTATCCTTAACCGTCACATTTCCCATCTAAGCCCCTTTAAAATTCTCCCTGCCTTGGTTTAAGGAGCAGCCCATGTCCTTTCTCTTTGTGGTTCTCACTTATGCACAAGCAAACCTACTTTCTCTGCATTGGTTTCTGGTGAGCTCTTGATTTCTACTCTGGGCAGTAACAAGAACCAGGCAGGAGAGTGGCAGGACTCTCACCTGTGACCTGGAAGGCCCAGGTTCAATTCTCAAACAAGGTACCAGCCTCTGCATTTGTTCCTGGTGATTTCTACCCTGGGGATATCGCAAGAGTCCATGGTTTCAGTGACATAACATTACCGCGGGAAAGCAAGACTTGCGCAGTTTGGGCCTGCATGAACCTTGTTAGGTACTGTGGAGTACAGAAATTAAAATAGGTCATTACAAATACCACTGGACTACAGTGTCCTAGGGAAATAAATAAGTGTACTCATGTAATCTGGGAGGGTGAACAAAGCTAGTTAACTATCGTGTGTTTCCATTGTCCTGAGAAAAGTTATTTCTTTGGTATTTTAGTAGCAGGAAAGGCTCAAGTTGATTTGGTTTTATATAACTTCCACTGCCTCCCCATTCATTCTGTGGCAGCCATAAGTATTCCAGAAGAGAACCTCAAACTCTTAAGATTTAAACAAAACAAAATAGAATAAAACAAAACACCGGAAATCTGACTCTAAAATATTTTTTCATCAACCTTGAAAAGCACCTTATTCCAAGAGCATTAATGCTACAAACCACCATCCACCCACCCAGTTACCAAGTCCCCCTTTTAAAAAGCCAGCACCTTATTCCAAGAGCATGGTAAAGCTATTAAAACTGGTTTACCCACATTTGGATTAACCAGAAGCCAAATATCTCCTAACCCATAACCACATCCATCCAAGTTTAATGTAAAATCATACTCCTAATAAGAGTTTTATTTGCTAAATGGAGCTCTAAATGTACAGAAATTGAATTTTAGTTGCAAAATTGGCAGAATTCGCTGGATAAATTCTTGAAGTACAAAGGGAAAAACCTATATAGACACACACACACAATTACACACACACAATGGACAACTCAGAGCTATATAGTTACAAGTTTTCACAACTACAAGTTTCAGAGCTATAAAGTTACAAGTTTTTAAAACGTCATAATCTGAAACTGAAAAAAAAGTAATAGTTCATTTAAGCAAACTGGCCCAGGAACAAAATAAAAAGCCTAGGAGTGTTTCCGAAAAATACTGTAAAATAATTAACTTATTAAAAAGAGTATGGTGCTGGGGAATTTCTGGGTGCTTTCAAATGAATACCCTTGGAGCAATGACCAAAATTCCTAACAGTCGCCTAGCTGTTACCTTAAGACATCTCACCTTCTGATTATGCTCTAACAGTCAAGTCTTTCCCTTTAAACATTGCTGGCCCTTTTCTATTTCCAAAATGAAACATCCTCAATGTGTGTGTGTGTGTGTGTGTATCACCTTACCTCTCCAGCACCCCAATCCTGGACCCAGAAAGTTCTCTGCTCAAGCCTCAATTCCTCCACTACTTAAAGGGGATAACACCCAGGTGGCCTTGGGGCAGGCTGTTCGACCACCGGAGATTCATTTCCAAAATGACAAACCTTCGACCCTCCACCAAGTACCACGCGAATCCACCTCCTCTTGAATGCTTATGACCTAAGCCTCAGCCTCAAGACCACTTCCCCAAGCAAGTCGGATGACCCTTTCATCTTCTAAAAGCCTTAAAAAGGCCAAACCACAGCCTCTCCCTCGCAATTCTCTTGGCAGAAAAGCGTGCACCATCCCGTGACCTCGCCCCCTCCCTTCACAGCTGAACTCAAACTAATTGAGTAGGTTTTTTTTTAGTATATTTTACTGATTTTTCACAGAGAGGAAGGAAAAGGGATAGAGAGCTAGAAACATCAAGAGAGATACATCAACCAGCTGCCTCCTGCACACCCCCCACTGGGGATGTGCCCGCAACCAAGGTACATGCCCTTGACTGGAATCGAACCCGGGACCTTTCAGTCCGCAGATCTATGCTCTATCCACTGAGCCAAACCGGTTTCGTTTTTTTTTTTTTTAACTCTAGGTAGGCCCCCTTCGAACGCTGGCTGCATCTCATTGCTTAAACACACATCTCCCTCCACCAAAAATAAATAAATAAATAAATAAATACCCCCCCCCCCCAAAAAAAAAAACCCAAAACTAAAAACCATTTCCCAAGAACTTCCCCCTGGGCCAACCACTAGGGACGCCAAGATTAAAACCAGTGTCCTTACTCCCCCAGAAGCTCCATAACCAGAGGGCCAGGCAGACATGAGTGTCAATTTCGGAGGCGTTTCAGAAACCCACAGCATCAAGGCCAGGACCCTCAAAGGCAGGCGGCCTCGGCTTTGTGCTACACCTTGGGGTGCTTGGTGACAGGAGGGGGGTGGGTGAAGGGGCTGGGAAAAGAAGGGGAGGCAGGAAAGAGAGAATAACCATGATGTAGGTTAACAGGTGCCTCTCAAGGGCCTCCAGCCCTGCGGGGGGCGGGAGGGAGGATTGGCAGGTGACCCCACTGCTGCCGAAAACCCCAATCCCTCATGGCTAGCCCCCACCCCGACAAGTCCTGTCTCTGTCCCCGGAAGAGGACTCACTAATTTGCTCTGTTTGAACTCGGGGGAGAGGGATGGGGACTGGCAGGGGCATCAAGGGACACGTGTGGCGGACCGGACAGAGGGCTGGACCGGAAGTCAGGACCCAAGGCCAGGGAACCCAACCGAGAAGAAACTAAGGCGAAGGGGGACGCCTGGAGACAATGGTCACGCTGCCCGTGTGTCCACAGGCGCGGGGATACCGATGGGGGTTCGGGGCCCGGCGCTTCCTCCGGCGGGGACATCCCTGGGGCGGGGACGGCGGGTGTTTCCCGAGGGGCAGGGGGACAAGGACGTAAAACCGGAAGCCACCTGAGCCGTGCAGGAAAATGAGGGAGGCGCTGTGCCTCCCCGCCGGCGACACCACGCACCGCTGCAGGCGAAGGGACCCCGACACGGCCGCCATGGCTGCGGCCACGACCCGAGTGGTCCCGCAGGCCCCGCCCCTCCGACGTCCTACGTGCCCGTGCACGTACGCACGCACGCACGCACGCGCACGCCGGGCTGGGAGGGGGGGCGAGGCGTGCCTGAGGACGCGCATGCGCGACAGGCCAGGCGCTGTCCCGCTTCTGGGTCAAGTCTGCAGCCACCAGTTCTGTGGATGCTGTGAGTTTGTTTTTTGTTTTTTTTTGTTTTTTGTTGCTAAGAGTGGTTTTATAGAAGAGGCAGCGTCGGTAAGGGCAAGGAATATGTATAAAAATATTTCCTTTGCTGTAGGATTTTAAACAGAAATCCTAAACTCAGAGGACTTTTTTTTTGTTTGTTTGGAAACATATCGGTGTTCATAATTTTAAAGTGGAACAGGTATCGCCATATACCGTGTTTTCCCGAAAATAAGACCTACTTACAGGTTTCCTTCTGAGTGAAATATAAGGCTTTCCCCAAAAAATAAGGCCCCCCTAGGCTAAACATGAGGGATTTGGTCCACTTTTTCTGAAAGAAATGGAGTCCAAGAAATTCACCAGGAAACTCAGAAATTGGATTGTTAGGATGATGTTCCAGAAGATGATGACATGATTGTCATCGAGTAAATGAGTAAATTCTTGATACTGTAGGATTCACAGTTTGTCTGGTTTGTGTTGACAACTACGGTACTACCGTACCGTATACAGGGAATACATTTCCTTTATTTTCATTTAACAATAAATGTGTACCGTATTCTTCTTCATGGAAAAATAAGACATCCCCTGAAAATAAGACCTAGTGCATCTTTGGGAGCCAAAATTAATATAAGACACTGTCTTATTTTCGAGGAAACAGGGTAGTACCTTCGGCTTGGGAGGTTGAACAAGATGTAGCCAACTAGCTATTGATACTCGGGGGGAAATAGCACTTTTTGTATAATTAAAAAAAATAGTTTACAAAACAATCTAACTTAAAGTGGGACCACCTCACCCCCATGGGTTATGGGAAAAAGTGGAAAATAAACGTAGGCCGTGGTGTGGAAGACTTGAGACCCCTCGCATTGTTGATTAAATCACAAAATGGTGCAGCAGCTAAGGAAGAAATAGTTTGGCAGTTCCTCCTCAAAAAGTTAAACAGAATTACCATATGATCTGATCATTTCACTTCCAAAATGTAAATGCAAAAAGAGAAACGCACACAGAGAACATGAAAGAAGGGCCGCACCGCAAACATACACCAGTGTTGATGGCAACATTTTTCACAATAACCAACTCAAATGTCCATCCTTGGATTAATGGAAAACAAAATGTGGTATAGACACACAATGGAATATTATTCAGCCTTAAAAAGGAACGAAATTTTGATACAACATAGATGAACCTTGAAAACCTTACGCTATAAAAAAAAAAAAAAAGAACTGTAGAAAACATAGTAGGCACTATAAAAAGACTTTAGAATTATATACAGGCAGTCCTCAGGTTACGTTGGACTCCATGTATGTCATTTTGTAGATATATCACAAATATATATCACAAATATATAAATTGGAGATATATCTCCAATTTATTTAGGTTCCGTCATTTTGACGTATGTACATATGTGCTTTGTTTTTTATTATTTATTTACTACAAGTAAAGGTCAGGAATTGTGATCTTTCTTTTAATTTGTTTTTACTGTTCGCTGCATTACTGCTGTGTATGTGCTCCATGTGAGTGACGTAGGTGCTTATGTAGCTGGGTTTTGACTTATGGCGAAAACCGTGTTACATCGCACCGTAGAAACTGATCTCTGACATAACCCAAGGACCTACTGTAATCACATGGTTATTTTATACACTGACATAGCCAAAGGCTGAAATTAAATCTAAGGAACTGTTTTCTCCTTATAATTGTGCAAATCCTTCTAAGGGGATCCATAACAAATTGCTTTGTAATCTTAGGTGGAATTTGCCTTGTACACACAACTTATTATTGCTCAAAAACAATTGAATAATAACGTTTGTCATTTGGCATATTTTACTGTCTAGAATTTCCATTACTTCAATTAAGATTTAAGGATTCTTCCCCCAAACCTTTACATTTCTAAACACAACAAATAAAATGATTACTTATTTAAAAAAAAAAAAAGAAGAAAGAAAGAAAATATTACTCTAAGTAAAGTAAGCTAGTCACGAAGGACAAATATTGTGTGATTTCACTTACATGAGGTACCTAGCATAGACAATTTTATGAAAGACTGAAAGTAAGGTAGTGCTTACCAAGGCCTGAGGGGAGGGAAGAATGGGGAGCTACTCTTTAATGGCTATAGCAACTGAACTATATACTTAAAAAATTAATTTCTTTATTGATTAAGGTATCCCATATTTGTCCTCAACCCCCCATTCCAATCCCCTACCCCCTCCACTCGTGCTCCCACCCCACTATTGTCCTTGACCACTGGTTAGGCTCATATGTGTGCACACAAGTCCTTTGGTTGATCTCTCCCTTTTATCCCCACCCTCCCTTTGAGGTCCAACAGTCTGACCCAGGGCTCCTTATCTCTGGGTCTATTCTTGTTCATCAGTCTATGTTGTTCTGAACTATATACTTAAATGGATAATTTTTAAAAAATATATTTTTGTTGATTTCAAAGAGAAAGAGAGGGAGGGAGAGATAGAAACATCAGAAATGAGAAAGAATCATTGATCGGCTGCCTCCTGCTCATCCCCTTCTGGGGACCGAGCCTGCAACCTGGGCATATGCCCTGACTGGGAGTCAAACCATAACCACCTGGTTCATAGGGACACGTGTTGTGGACACGTGTTGAGGTTCAACCACTGAGCTACAATGGCTGGGCCATTAAGTTAATGTTAAGTATATATTATCATATTTTATAAAAGCACCCCTTCCCCCAAAATAAAATTACTTTCTATGTAAATATCTAACCACAGACATCTTTTAATACTGAGGGCTATAGCCCTAGCACAGGTGGCTCTTTCCTCGTATAAAAATTCTAAATAACCCAGTGGAATTGTAAGTGCTGTTAAACACCTGACTTCCATTCGTTGTAATCGACATCACATTGAAGCCATTGCAACTTATCTTTTTGGTTAAAAGTAATCACCCTACTCCCAGGCAGCTGAGCTGCTTGTCTGTCACACTCTATGCTATCACACGGTTATACCAATGCTGTGGATCCACATGCCATCCGAAACCCAGCTCACAAAGGAACTTTTTGAGTCCTTTCACTAAAACCTACAGATTTTGAGCCGAGAGTGCTGGGAATGGAGTCATTAAGGAGGACAGGATGAGTGCGGATGATGAATTCACACAACAATTCTTCTATTTCTAGACCTGCCTTCCCCAGGTGAATCTCGTTAACCTCCAAGAGCCAGGTGAGAAGAGAGCAGTGCTATGCTCAGGCCATGTGGAGAGAGGCCAGGTAAGGCTTTAAGTTCTACAAATGGAAAACCTTGCTGTGCATGACTCCATGCCTTTGAGACAGCAAAAAAAATCAGAAACAATTCCTTCACAGCTGTGTTTATTATTGCTAGCAATAATAATAAGCAACTGACATTCATTGCATATTCGAGGTGCCAAGAAGCATCGTAAGGAAATTCCCATAGAACTCGGAACTGTTGCTATCTGTTTTTGCCAGTGAGGTGCAGAGGTAAAGAGCTTGACTCAGGGTCATCCTACCTGTCCTTTGTAGAGTCTGGACTCACACATAGGGCCCATTTGACTCCAGACTTTAGGTCTGCGGTGCGCTGTTTCTCTGTTTTCTGTGTCCATCAGGTTCCTGAGTAGAGGAGTTGAGGATTAAGAAATTAGAGAGAAAGAAGAGACAAGGAGGCAGAAATAGATTCATCAAGCTGGGCGCTAGGTGGGCGCCATCTTTCTGATGGAGAGGCAGCAAGGCTACCGGAACCACGCAGCAGGTTTATTTTATAGGGTCAAAGGAGCTTATTTGCATACTTAAGTAGGCCCTAGGATCACTGGATTTACATATCTAGACCCGCCCCTGCTGACACCTGGACAGAGGTACTCTGCCAGTGCCTGGGGCTCAGCTAACAATTTAAAGATTGTCCATGTGCCTTCTCAGGCAGGCCTCTACATAGGTCCTTAACTGGTACCCACATTTATACATTAGCTCACAAAAAATAAGACAAGACACAAGCTATGTTATTTAAACACAAAAACAAAGCAAAGCTTCTGGGATTTGGAATCTCCTATCGATTAAGAATTCCTGTGGTTCTTCAGATGTCCCCAATTCTCCTGGTGTTAGTTCCTGGCTTATTTCTCCATCACAATGACCACCTGCTTGAGCAGTACCTGAAGGTTGGGATTCTGAGTTTCACCTTGAACTTGAGCCTTCCCAGATTCAGGATCATTATTTCGAATTAGCCAGATTCTTCCAACCTAATCAAAGTGCTCTTTTATTTCCAGTGATTTAAATGCTTAGCTATCGTTGCTATTCCTTTCATCTTTATTTATAGAACAAACAGAAGGTTTGAGATGACTATATTTAGAAATGCCATCTGGTAGGCAAACTATTGAACAAAAATGTTTTGTTCCTTTCATGTGACTGCAGTACTTTGAAATGTAATTAAGTTTCAGGATGGTTGTTTGCTTCTTTTATGGTGGATCTTTTGCCCTGTTGAACTTGAGGGGGAAATTATCCTGGGAAGAATTTTATTGGTACATTCTTTTATTCTTTGTGTATCTTTTAATTATTTTGTTGTTGCTCATTTGCTTTCAGCCAGTCTGTGTGCCCATTATGGATGCACTCCATTTTTGCTAACTTGAATGTCTAAACTAAGAGAATCAAGTAAACAAAATAAAGGCAAAACAGGAAAGTCTCCCTTTTTGCAAAGTTTCAATATCTGTTGGGCTCTCAACATATAAATGTCAGGGTCAGAATTTAGTTTGCTGTTCCACTATGTGTTTAGAAATCCTTTAGGGCACACTTGTTGACTTAAAAAAGTGATTGAAATATTAGCCATTTAGAGTAGTGTGTTTGGTA